TCAAGGGTGAAAATCAAGACCCTACCATGATGCACTCATTGGTAGTGCGAGTAAACTGTTCGGTTAACAAAGAAAGTGTTTTGGCCTGATCAGCATGCGTTGGTTTGAAATACGGTTGCATATTTTTCTAAAGCTATTTCGATGTCTGACATGCTCTACCAATAGATGTTCCGGACTCATCTGCATGTTGAAATCTGACACAATACACCAGCTCATGAATCAACTTCAAAATGCTATCATTTGTGAACCTGTTTTTGATGCAGACCTCACTAGCTACATTGGAGATTGCTTTCCGGTTTAACATTTATACCTCTCAGGCTTTTATCGTCCCATAGGTTTGTGTTGTGATTAAAAGACAGTGATTGTGTAAAATGTCACACGATACGGGCTTCTTCCACTGCTGCACACAGCTTCATCTATGTTGGAATGTAAGGTGTGCTAATGCTTCACAAAGTCTCAGTTTGAAAGATTCAATGCTTGGTGCACAGACGACACGTGGGGTGGGACGGAGTTCCAGATCGAATACACTCTGACTGCCAATGACTGGTGCCGCCATACCAATCGGCATTTTGAGACGACTAGTTTGAACGGATGTCCTCTAAGATGAACATTGGGTGATAATTTTAGCAGAGGGCAATACAGACGGCTTGCATCATTTGGTATACCAAATCTTGTCTCTTCTGACGCGCTGGTAGTGATTGGAATATAACCCCAACGATTCCAGTCTCTCTTCGTATGAATAGTGGTTCAAACCCCTGACCATTTTGGTGGCCATCCTTTGTAGACGCTCCCAGCATTTTGCAATCATGCTGTAGCCATAGCTTCCATGCATGGATAGCGTACTTTGTGAGTGGGCGAATGTATTCTGACAACAGACGGGGGAAAAGCGCTGACTCAAACCGGTCAAAGACACGCCCAAGCAAACTGACATTCTTTACAGCTGCGTTGGTGCAGTTGAGTGAGCAGCTTAAGTTTTCCTGAATGATGATGCCCAGGTTCTGCTCAGTTGAGGCATGTGGCAGTTTTTCATCTCCGAGGAAATACAAAAATCTACCAGATGATGTTTCGTTATAAGGCTTTATTCGAATGCAGTCCTTGTCAATGTGTATTATATACCGATGCTACACACTGATTTCTAAATTCGAGCTGAATTCCTCTACCCTAAACTTTGAATTCGTTTTGGATAAGACTATATTCAATTAAGAACGGACAACTCTTACACAACGTGTATTCGTTTTGGCTTGGAGTCTATCGAGGTACAGTCTAACCTAAATGGAATCCATCCGTGCTGAGATGCGCAGGGTCAGTAACCCACAACAAGCTTGCACAGAGGGGTTGTGCTATATCGTGTAAATGGAAATTGAAAAACGATCTGATCAGCTGCTCGGTGGCGTAGTGGGTAGCACGCTTGCGTTCTGCTCATGAAGTCCCGGGTTCGATCCGCAGTGGGGTCGATGGATTCGCACTGCTGATGAGACCCAAACAGGTCGAAACAGCTGTCCGGTGCTTCCTAGCTTTTCAGTTCGCGTTTCGTTTGCCATATACACGACGAATAACCTTTGAAATCAAATCAAATCCTCCATCACTCACTGGGAATCCATTTCCTTAAAACACGTTCAAAAACGCACAATCCATTGGATGCAGTTTAAGAGCTGTCTCGTCAAAATCAGAAACTAGAGCTATAATTCTTAATAATTTTAAATTCGAACGGAAAAATAAAAGTCTAATAGGGGTGGGGGTAATTGTATAATTGAAATGAGTTTTTTGTACGTGAGTATTTGTGTGATAGAAAATTGACAGGAATGTGTCAGAATCATTTAGAGCTGACTGTTTTCGGAGCACTTATGCAGAAAAAAGTTTTTTTTATCGTTTCCGGTTTTTTCTCAATCTGCCAACTACTTGGTTTTGGAAATGTTCAAAAACACAAGTTCAAGGACGAGCTCAGTTCCGCTGATTTATTTACTGCGTAATGAATTTTTTAGATGAGACCGTTCCGTGGAACCAGGATCAGGTGTAGAGAAAGATAAATGAATATTTCTTTCGGGAGATGATTTCCTGAAAGTGGTTATTTCTTATGTGTTGATTGGATACAGGATAAGCGAAATAGTATGGCCATTTAATCAGGTTGGGAAAGCAGTTTAGTCAATGTTTCGTGGTTTAATGAAAAGGCTACAAGAGTTACTGACGATTGAGTTTCATCAGTCTAGTTATTTTTAGTTAACACAATCTCTGGCATCATTTTCATTCTTCATCTCTTTTTCATGCGTAGAATTTTCAAATCTTTCGATAGTTGTGTTTGAGTTTATCTACAAGTTAAATAGGATCATTTTGTGTTTGTTGTATATGGTTCGTGGCTCGTGACATCCACAGATATTACAGTTATTTGCTTTAAAGTTTCCAGTTCTAATAAACGATCAATCACCACAAACGATCAAAAGATGCTCCATACACCGCGGCTGTCTATGATAAACTTCCAGGTACTCTAATTTAGAGTGGAAATCTGTCGCAGGGGATGGATGGGAGAGTGAGGACAGAATTCCATTTAGGTTTTACTTGGCTATTCAAAGTATTCAAGAGATAAACCTAATGGTCGTAGATGCCTGTCGAATAGATGGAATGTTGTGATTACAATTAATAGATATAATGCGTTTCGATCAGCTTATGCGGTTTCACAGACACGGTGCATATTGGTTATCTTGTTCAATAGTTATGAGTAATACTGATTAGGAAATTGTTTATTCGCCACATTTTTAATGAATTCGTCGCATAAACAGAAGACATTCTGTGAGTAGTCAAGATGTAATGAACGAAATCGAATCACGTATTGGATTGTACTGCTTCTCAAAATTAGTGAAAAGTAAAGTAGAGACAGTGCTGAGAATGGTGATGACAATGATTTAGTAGACACATCATGATTAATATACTATACTCTATCGCCTAACTATTTTAACAAGAGACAGGGTGAGAATACCGGCCGTAAACTCACATGATCACATCGGCGGCCTCTGAGAGCAAATTCGATTTGCGCAATTCAGGTTCGACGCTAGCCTCCGATTCCAGAACAGGGTTGGCAGGCCACTTGCGCTGTGCCGGGCACGTTTTTGGTAGCTCACTGACAAATTGATCAAGACCGTCAGATGTTTCCGGTGGAAACGGATGGGGAAAAGATTGTGTTCTGCCGCCGTCCTGAGAGAAAGCTGATCGAACGAACAGAAAACAGTGTCCGCGTTTTTAAAATCTAGACCATTTTGAAATTTTCCTATGTAAATAGCGTTAGCTAACCATAATAAATATAACAATGATTGAACAAAATCGCTGTAAAAGCCACAAACCCAAACGCTGTGTAAAATCTAAAAGGAAAACAAACTGCAAAATGAACTCATTGACTGGACGATATCGTTAGATAATGCTCACCCGTTAATAATGTGAGCTTTTTAAGCCGCAATATCTTTGCTGACCAAAGTGGTGTGATTGAATTGTTTTTGGGTTAGGTAGAATGCTCAGGGTGTCGCCAATGTATACAAAATTCTTGGTACACAACAGCCATTCGGCCAATCATAAGAGTTCACATGCCAATCCAATAATTTGAATAAAAAGTGAACAATCATCACATCAATTACATCTGGTCAATGAGTAAAATAATCTAAATATTTCGAAGCACTTCACGAGATCATATATAGTACAACAGTCAGGTTCAGAATGCTTCCAAACGAGTCATAACTTTGAAGACTAGCTGGGAGGTGCGCAAGATGCGATGCCTGCATTTAGCTTGCAAAGATGGGTTGTGCCAGACCTTGTATAGGCGGAATCAAGAACGGACTGATTAGCTGCTTCGGAGTGGCCAAGTGGGTCGTTTACTTATATTTTATCTGTGAGGTCCCAGGTTTGATCCACAGTTGGGTCAATTTGCAAGTTCCGATCAACCTATGATTTATATCAACAGAAAATTGTCTTACGGGAGAGACTGGGTCCGCAAAAAAGATCTTCCATACCTCTAGAGTTATAAATAGCATGTTTTAATTCCTAAACACATCGACAGTATGAGCAGAATTGAATCTAAGCGACAAGTGAACATGCGTTTGTTCCTATATGGTTTGTCACATTCTCGTGCGCCGCCGGGTGCGCGAAATCGTCGGAGTCACTCGAACCAGAGAAAAAATAAAAAATAATAAAATTAAATAAAATAGTTTCCCAGGGATGCAGGAACTCCTCCATCTCATAGAAACCCGTTCCGAGGGCATTTTCCGATGGATGAGTTGGGGGGGGGGGNGATTATTCGCGTTTGGGCGCCTGCGTAGATCGTTAAATAAGACATTCTTTATGGCAGCACACACATAGACAAAGCAGAAGACGTTGATATGAACGAAAGTTTTCCAGTTGGGAGGCGCAAGTGAAATAAACAAGAGCCCACGTGATTATGTTTTTCTGCAAGAGTGATTGTCCCACTCATTTAGTGAGTTTTCAAAAGAAAGCAGTCTTTGAGTGTCACTCGCAGTCCAGTTTATTCATTTTATATCGTGGCAACTATTTTATATTCTGAGTGAATAAACAACAAATATTTATCAGGTAAGGGTTATAACAACCAGTGTTCAGATCACTAAGCAAATTTCACTGATCAACGGTGTATATTGCCGGTTTATAATGCATATACCACTACTGATACATGCTGATTGCTTCGTCAAAATATTTTTTAATAAATAGAGTTCTGTCGCGATACTTATAACACTACCGTTTGAGCGATGTTTTAAATAACAACCCCATCAACTATTCCGAAGAATCTTGAATCACGTCTCAACTGAACTCGTGAACAGTAGAGATTTCATATACTTTTAAAACAACACATGAAAAAGGTACCAGGCCTTTAACTCAATGGAAGGCTGCGCCAACGGTATATAGAATGCATGTTCAGGGGTAAATCTGTGACTTCTTTATACTGAGTCCAACATGAAATGTATGCACGGCCTTATGAGTTACCGGATTCGTATTGTAAGAAATAATAACTATTTCAACCTATGTAACGTAACACCCACAACAGTAACCGTCAACGGTATACCTCTAGGGTAAGGGCTTTGACTCCGAACCCGAAGTTAGAATCCCACAACGCAATCCATGAGTTCCAACCAGAACAGAAAAGTGTTTTCCACAGTGCTCTTTATCAAAGGTTCCATCGGTTTGTGGATCTAACCGATCCTTTGATACACTACTGTCAACCTTAAATAAGAGCATAACTCAAGTCTAGTACTCTCCAAGTGTATGATTGACGGAATGAACTGAGGATTGTAAGTGAGGGTTAAGTCCGTCAGTACAAATCAATCTTCATATGAATTCACCAAAACAGAAGAGCATACACATGTACAGAACATACCGTGCTTGGGACACAAATATTTAAATTTCAAGTCGGTTCTTGTTTCGGTACGTGTCTGTGTTGCTCAGAACGTGTTGCTTTTCTCTGTGCATAGGTAACCAGACCCCGGGAGTAAAAATGATGGCAGATGAAATCACCCCCCGTCTCCCTCTCGTATCTCAAGTATCCCAGTCATGTAACGCTATCAAATTATGCTTGATGATCTATCGAAAGGAGTAAGACAATAGATGATTATAGTGTCACTTTGAAACAAACTACGTAATCAGATATCAAATTGACCAAGTTGACAGATTGCATGCGCTATTTTTTGTCTTCACGAATCTTATCATTTAATTTTGCTTTTCTATCCGGTCTTGGTACAAATCAGTCCATGAAGTAACAAAAAGAAACCAGCACTTTTCATTAAAAGGGAGAAAGCGTTTTTTTCGTTACAAAAACGAACACCAATTATATTCCTTGTGTTAAATACAGCTTTCCGGACCGTAAAGACACTCTCAGTTCACTCGGCGTTTTGAATCGAGGAAAGCGCAACGCCCAAGTTCATATGTTCAACATTACATTGTTATCGCGGCCAAGGAATGTGAAATGTATTCGACTTTTACAATATTAGTTATTTTAATTGATTGAAGTCAAATACGAGATTGATGACATTTCAAAAAGTATTTACCGCTATTCAGCATGGGTGCATTCTTCCCTAAAACTCACAACCCCAGTTCTAGTCGAATGTTGGTATTCAGGAGGGTACATTTCGAAATCAATACCCAGGAAGGTGTAATGCCAAATCTAGCAAGTAGAGGGATGTCGACAGAAACTCAGTTTGATTAAATTAGACCCTAAATTACGATACCGGGCCCACCTGACACTTGTCGACAGGCTTTGACAGATCTATTTTCTTCTCTTCCCTAGGACGAACTCGATAACAAATCACGGGGTACAAATACGCTGAGCTAACAGTCTCTGTAAAAAGTTGTTTAGAACAAACAGAGGAATCCGGCCAAAATAGTAGGCGATATGCTGATTAGTCCAGTCCAGTGACAGTTCATCAGCCGTTTCAAATCACCGAGGATGAAAGCAACGATAAATTGTCAAACTGCACTGGTGCGCACCAGACTATCCGTGACGGTTCCATGGATATGAAATTAATGGATTGAAATAGAGCACATTCAGCATGTGACATATTCTAGCGATAAAACGAATAAGTCTGTTGACCTCAGCTAAGCGATCGCAAGGCAAAGTGAACTAGTTCCATTCACCTTCATCTGGGCTAGAGTGGTTCATAAACTGTTCACGCAGAAAATCTTTTTTCTCGAGGGAGCCCAAGTGAAGTTGAAATAATTCAATTTTGAAAAACAGTACTTCGAATGTATGCGAGAAGATAACCGGATTTTTATCGTCTCCCAAGCGTGCTTTGATCAAATAAGTTTGAGTTTGCAACAATACACAAAGCTTTCTAAATCGCACGAAAACCATATTTTTGACTCAAAGTAAAGTTTTGACTATACCTCGAAATGAATTAGTTCGCAATTAGAGCAAAAGATAGCGAACGATTCTATCTTGAATGGTAGTATTGAACGATGAATGCTATTAGAGCACCGGATAAAAAGACTGCTGGTTATAAAGACTTGTAATTTATTTGTGGTTGAGAAATAAACCTAAACAAAAACTTAAGACGAACGTAATTCTTTTTGTAGGTGGTATTTCGAGGATCACAAGACAAGATAGCAAATAAACTTGGATGTGTGTGCACCTCACGTATTCATTTGGCCTTCCGTTTACAGGCTTATACTGTGCTAAAATTCCCGCCGCTTTGAGAGTCAGACTTTTGAGTCAAAGACTCCATTTAGGGTTCCCGAAGAAAAACCTGTTCTTCGGTGTGAGCTGCCGAGAAGTATGTCGTGCCCTAAAGTCTTAGGCACCCATTTGGAGAACCATCTTCCCCATCTATCTAGTTCTTCTTCTCAATCCCAAATAATCCCAGATACCTTTTATTTACGAGACCCATCAGATATCACTCAGCGTTTCACAAGCAAGGCCAGGCAATTAGAAGTTACAGGATTTTCGAAACCGAGGTTCCCTTTTCACTTAGCTGCGTTCAATGTCCACACACTCTATCAGATTGGGCAACAATCTGCCTGGACTAGAACCCTTGAAACTTTCAATTTAGATGTATTCTGTGTATCCGAAACACGCATACAAGACCATACTTCCATTATCTCCTTGCATTCTCCTGGTCTAACCTCAATCTCATGCTTCAGCCTTCGTGTGTCAGGTGATTCGGCACCCGAAGCTCGCAGTGTCTCTATTATTGGGATTGCGCAAAATGCCAAGACTGAGCAATCGCTTCTTGACTGGAATCCAGTCAGTAGCCGACTGTGCGCTGTACGTCTCAGCGGTTCAGCATGGGTGAACATATACAAAACGAAGCGTTGATGCTTGTTCTTCGTATCGGTGTATGCATCCACCGATTGCAGTACACCTGAAATCAAGGATGAGTTCTACAAGGACTTCTCTCAATTGCTCCAAAGTGTTCGATCAACGGACCTGGTGGTAGTGACCGGGGACTTCAACGCTCAAGTGGGATCTCTGGATGAATCAGAAAGTCTTCTCGGCGGACCACATGAAATCCCGACTAACCGGACGGACAACGGAGATCGCCTACTTAAACTCAGCGCGGACCACGGATTGCTTCTGTCAAGCATCAACTTCTCGCACTACAAACGATACCGCCTTACATGGGAACCGCCAACCTCTCCACAGCGCTGGACCAAAATCGACCACATCGCCGTCAGTTAACGCTGGAGGGGATCAATTCAAGACCTCCGCTCTGACTGGTCAACACCTGTGGATATAGAAGACGCTCGTTATGCGCCAAAATGTCCTTACGTCCAGCAAACAACCGAAAAAATGCCGCCGACAACGGATATCCATGATACAATGTCAACGGTTGCTACAAATCCGATTTCGAAGTGAAGCCCTCCGGTCGCCTCTCAGGTCAACCACCAGCCGAAGGACTCAACGAATATTGGAAGAAAATTAAAGAAGGTATACAAATATGGATAAAAACGACGTCGAACCCTGGCACAGGCTCAAAACACAAATGATGGATCTCGTCTAACTCGGCTGCCGTGCTGGACGCGCGCAGAACCCTTCCTCCTGATGCCGCATACGACAGCGCGCAAATCTCTCAAACGCCAGCTTATCAAGAGTCTGAGGAATGACCGCGAGAAGTGGTGGGTAGAAAAGTGTAAAGAGATGAAGAAAGCTGCAGTTATTGGTAATAGTCGCAATCTTTTCCGCCTAATTAGGAACACGGGCCCCAGGAAAACAGGCATAAGTGAGGTAATTAAGGAATTTGATGGCACACTGATTCACGATCAGCAACGCCGTCTTGACCGTTGGGCTGAACACTTCAAAGCTTAGTCCAACTGGCCCCATTTGACATCTAAACTATCACCCCCACCTCGACTGGGCCAAAACTCCCAGTTGATGCTAGTCACCCATTTGAACTGGAGGTTTCTAGGGAAATAATTTTTCTCAAATGGCATAAGGCCTCTGGCCCAGATGGGCTGTTCCCATCAGTGTTTGAGGATGGACGCTCAGCGCTAGTCTTGGAGTTGACGAAACTCCTTGGTTAAGTATGAGAAAGCAAAGAGGTTCCAGCAGGATGGTAAGATTTGGTGATCATACCGATTTACAAGAAAGGCGACAGGTCCTCCTGCAAAAATCACGGAGGAATTAGCTTAACCAACATTATTTTCAAACTTCTCGCTGATGTGATACTCCGGCAATTGTCTGCCGCACCTGAACGGTGCACGCGCGATAACCAGGCTGGTTTTAGATCTGATCGAGGTTGTATCGAATACATCTTCAATCTTCGCCAAATTCTGGAGCATCAACATTCTTTTCGTAGTCCGACCATCTCTGTTTTCCTCAATGCAAAGGAATAACACTTGTTTCAGAACCGATGAAATGTCGAAAAAAGAGGGTTACATGAAGTTCTGACTGCAGTTGGTTTACTACTTGAAGTCGACTACCAGCGGAGTCGTACGCTACTGTGCGCGTCTCCAGGTCGTTAATAAAAGAAAAGTCACTTTTGTAGATAACGAAGCACGCGTAGGCGTTGGTCCGCTGAAAAAGTGGTGGTGGAAAATCTGCGGAGATGGCCAACGACGTGGCGGGATTTCAGCTGAGATGTGAATTCTATGAAACAACCAGCTGCAAATCTCCACAGAATCCATTTAGATGAGTGCGATTTTGACTCACCACCAAATAAGGTTATCATTGTAATCATTTTGACCAACAGATGACAATTGACTGCGAAGTTGACAGCGACGTATACCGCTTTGTAACATTTTCCTACTCTTCTTCTGGGGCTCATTGGTAAATAGGGTAGCGTAGCTGGAAAGTGAAGAACTGAACCCGTCCGTAGATGTAACCATCTGTTTAACCTTAACCAAAATTATGTACTAAATTTATAAGGTTTGAAGTCCCAGGAGAAAGATTCTAAAGGGTAAAGAAGCAGTTGTGTGCACGTGTTGGGTAATTACATTATTACAGATATTAAATGCATCGAGTTCATATTAGAGACAGGTACGAAAACAAATAATTTAAGTTTAACTTGTAACAAATCTTTACCAATCGAATATTAAAATGGAAAATATGAACGAAGCCCTTTATACTTTATAATTTTAGTGAGATCTTATTATTTTTCTGACGTCATTGCAGCCTCATACAATAAACACTGCCTTAACTCTATCCATGATTTAGTTCCTAGTTCTTTGAGAACGAAAGAGGTTTCTAATCATTGGAAATCCACGAATTTGTTTGAGATCAAAATGAGGTATATTTTGAAAACGTAGAATATTTCGTGTTTTAAAACGCACTACCACATTTATCCACTACTATCTTTTTCTCCCTCATAGAGTGACTGCTGTGCACGATGATGGAAGCATGCTAAATTCCCATGTCAAATGAAAACTACTCTTTCTCTCCACACTCAGGACCAAAAGCGTCGTACGCACTTAGATTCCTGTCCACCAGAAGAAGTAATGAATTCAGATGTAGTTCATTATAAAACAACCTCTCACTCGAAAAGGATTCATTGTGCGATGTTCACGTATCATACGTGCCATTTAAATCCGGGTGTTCAGCGTAGCGAGCCTCATATTTCATTACCAGAGTACTCAGGATAGTTCCAGCTGTTGATTCTATATCAGTACTACATCCTGTAGAGCCCATCCATCTCTGCGTGTTTACATTCAGTACCTTCACTTGAACGACGCGATGCATGCCGCCTGATTAGTGATCAGCTCTGTTGAGCAAGCAATATCAAACTACTCGTGTTATTACTCATTTCATTGGAGGATATTACAAATATGCAACGCTTTCAATGATTACAGAGATATGCCTGACACTTTGAAATCCTTCTTTATCCCACCAATGAAATGAAATCCTTTAACCCGCTGACTTTTCATCCATCTCTCCACGGGTTTCAATCATGTTTTGAAACGCTGCCTATTCAAGATGGTAAGAAATGTGTTTTAACCACATGACCCACAATNTCTGAACTGCATAGCAAAGAAGAGCTCAAACGGACGCACTTATAAATTGTCTTGCACGCACTGATTACAAATTCTCAGATCTGTCTCAAATGGCTCACCATACAAACAGTTCCGTGATTGGTTCTCAAAATATCATTTGTGAATATGAATGTTGATATGTCGAACGAAAAACTAAAATTAACCGGTAATCTGTGGATTGCAACTGAAAGGCATTTTTCGTACCAGATTGCACATTTTATTCTGTTTCAAAAGTCATCAAGTTGAGGACATTGAATAAACAAGATTGTAAGGAAATTATTGTTTATTGCCTAAAAACTATGTACTGTGATTAGTTCCGCGCCCACAGGGTGCCGAAGTGTGATGTTCAAGATAACAAGGTGAATCTGTCGAATCATAGAATTAGGAGAAAATAATAACTGATTCTCTTTCTCAGTTCCTTCGACTAGAACAAGCGGATTTGTCACTGTCATCAACGAGACAAACAGTGAAAAACCGATAAATGGAAACAGAAATTATCTCCGCAACGCGTGTTTCTTTTTACATAAGCATTGCATTCATAGGGGGAGTATCCAAGCAGTTGCACTGTCGCTGATGGAGAATAAATTACAAGCAGTTTTTGTTCTCCGACGCAAATTCCATAACAAATGATTGTTTTTTAAAGCACGTTTTAATGTCTGCCGACGTCTGTCGACCCGGTTGCAAGATTAGTTTGCGGATGTCTGGATCGAGCAAAATCAAGACAGTGTCGGACTAGCGGGCAGAAAGTCCCAGTCTGCTTGAAACAACAATGTGATGCAATAAAAGCGAACCTCGAACAAGGTTGACAATAAACTGAAGAATACTCATAACTCTTGAAAAATAAATACCCTTGAAGATTTTTTGACGAGAGAGTCAGTTTGTTTACGGACA